CCAGCTGTCTGGTTAGCAGGCAAGTGTCTTAGCCACTATGCTACCATAGTGATAGTGCCTTGGAAACCCAAGGAGGGGTCGCTATGAGTCGAGTGCGACTCGACGGCGCATAACAACAATTTCTCCTATGTTCTTTTATGTTAAACATCTTTAACATGAAAATGTGCCCGCTTAATTTATCTATTTTTCTAGTTATTTTCTTAGTGGTTCCTCACTAAGAAAGTAGGTACCACAGTAGGTACCTTAATTTATTACAGTCTATTTCAATTTAATTCTGACCTAATTTTGGCAAAATGTAGGAACTTAGCTCCAGTGTAGCTCAGTTTACTCCTTATTTCTTGATGCTGTTATTGTTACATACTTTATATGTATGTTATAAGCCTAACAATACAGTGTTATAATTATTGCTGTATAAAATCTTTTGCTTTAAAATATTAAGAGACAACTATATTTATGTGGTATTTTATATTTAATCACATATTTATCATTTTCCATGCTCTCTACTGCTTCCTGTGGATTTAAATTAATATCCAGAATCATTTCCTTTTATTTTGAAGACATTGTGAGATGGTGTGGGTGATATAGCAGCCCTAATTAAGAATGAGAGAGATTACCATTGTTCTGATTTCAAGTTTAGCAGTTTTTTTATGAATAAATGTTTCTTCTTCTTCTTTTTTTTTATTTGTGATTTGGGTGAAAGCTTATAGATCAAATTCATTTTCCATACAGCAGTTTACATATACTTTGTCTCATGACATTGACTACAGTTTCCCACAGTGTACCACTCCTCTCTCATTTCCTCTCCATAGTTACCTCTTCCCTGTGTCCTTCACTCCCATGCACTCCTGCCCCGTGAGCTGTTGCCCTGTGTATCCACAGCCCTTCTTTTCTCCCGTGATTGATCTTTTGAAGGGAGTGTATCTACCTAATGTAAATGTCAGCTCTGAATGAACATTTCTTAATTTGTTTGTCTGTAGTCAATTCCAGGGCCCTGAAATGTTTGCTGTTGACAATTTTGTCCAGTTTCATAATTTTTTTTTTTTTTTTTAATATACAATCTTCTGGGGTCTTTCCACTACTGTAGCTGGTGTGTGGTGTGTGGTGCCTGAAGGCATTTGACTGCTAACCAGAAGGTTGGCGGTTCAAACCCACCAGCCACTGTGCAGAAGGAAGACTGGGCGGTCTACTTCTGTAAAGATTTACCACCTTCGAAACTCAAAGGGGATGACTGAGTTGGAATTGACTCGATAGCAGTGAGTTTTGTTTTGGTTTGGGAACTGGAAGTCCACCCACCCACGTGGATATTTTTACTGAGTAGAAGTGACTTTCTGTGCTGTCCTGAGTTGTGTCCCTTGATTTATAGAGAATGGTTTTAGCACCCAGGCAGGCCTAAAAGTGGGGCTCAGAGTAAGTTAAAGGGTCAACAATAGGGCAAGGAGTGATGGGCCTTTTTTCAGCTTGCCTGGGTCTCTGAGGCCCCAAATATTGTCTTTCCCAGGAGAGCTCCTGAAGCTTGTCCCTGTAGGGCTTTTTTGGCTCCTCCTTCCTCTCTTTCCTGCATATGCCCTAAGGGTGAGTGGACTTTGAAGACTCAGAGTAAAGCAGCTTATGCCTGTCTTACTTAGCCTTGCTGTGTGGCTGCTGGGGAGCTGCTGCCAAGAAGGTGGGGGGGGGAAGAATTTGCCCAATATCCCAACCATCATACCAGTTATGGGGTGAAACTGCAAATATAATTCTGTAGACAACTTCACTGGTTAGGTCCTTCTCTGCTAGATAGAATTTCGATGGAGGGAAAAAAAAAAAAAAAGCTGAAAGTTACTTTATTGTTGCCTTTATCTTTCTGCAGATAATACTTTGAATACCTCTGTAACCAGATGCTTTTGCCTTTTTCTCTTGGCAGAGGAATGTCTTAGCTTCCGGAGTCATCCCACAGATTTCTCTGATCATGGGCCCATGTGCTGGTGGGGCTGTCTATTCCCCGGCTCTAACAGACTTCACGTTCATGGTAAAGGTAAGAATAAAGGGCCTGTTTCCATTGCTCTTTGGGAATTGTACAGTTTCTCACCCACAATAAAAATAATGCCTGACCCAGATCTAGTTTGTTATCGGCATTGTCATTGGCTTTCAGGACACTGATGATAAGGTCTTAGTGGAGAAAAGGTGTTGGCATGAGATCTGTAGCTTGTGGGGTTCATTGGTAGAAGGGACTAAAGTATTTGATTGGTGGATGATTTTGCATGTTAATCTGAATTGCAAATGATTTAACAGTAATCAAAGGCTCTTGTTCTTTGTCCAAACAGATGATTGTTTACTGAATCCTTTCAAAAAAATTTTCTCATGGAAGGCTTTTCTATCTTTTATTGGGAAGTTGTTTCTTAATTTCCACCTTTATCTTGTCAGTTGTATCTTGCCATTTTATTAATTTTGACTGTAATAAACCAAAAAAACCAAATTCACTGCTGTTGAATTGATTCTGACTCATAGTGACCCTATAGGACAGACCAGAACTGCCCCATAGGATGTCCAAGGCTGAAATCTTTGTGGAAGCAGATTGCCATTTCTTTCTCCCACAGAGCAACTAGTGGGTTCAAACCACTGACCTGACCTTTGTGGTAGGCAGCCAAGCACTTAACCACCCTATCACCAGGACTCCTTTGGACCATAATGGTAATGGATAGATATGGTCCCCACCTTTATTGTGAGAGCTCCCTGCCTTTATTATGTGATTTTATAGAATGACATTATTTTTATATATATATAAATAACACATTTGCCTTTTCAGCATTTTTTCAAGTGTATAATTTAGTAATATCAATTACACCAATCACGTGGTGCCGCTGTCACCCATAATTGTTGCCAGATTTTTCAGAACTGTAAACAGAAAGTCATTGCTTCCTAAACAGTGACTCCCTCTTTCTCAAGAATGATATTTTGAAATATTTATTAAATGACACCTACTTGGATGTATAAATGAGTAATGACCCTTAATCTGACACTTTTATTTATTTAAAAATTAGTCTTTTCCTCTTAAGTTTTTTTTTTTTTTTTTTCTCCTTTAGATGAAAAGGAGCAAGATACACCAATGCAGAAAGGTTAGGAGAAAGTGTAATCATCCAATAGGAAAACAGTGCTCTTAGAAGATAGCTGGTGGGAGTATAAGTGGGAATAACTATTTTCTCAAGGGCAGTTTGGAAATAAGAATTAAAAGTTTCTACAAGTGCATACTCTTTTATCTAACTATTCTGTTCTTAGAAATTGATCTTAAGGAAATGATTAAGAAAGTGCCAATTGGTTTATGTAAAGAGATACTTGACACAACATTGTTAATAAGGGTTGACATATTGAAAGCAGCCTAAAAGTTCAGCAACAGGGTGGGTTGTAAACATAAAGATGACTGCATCTTTTTTATTTCCTGACAAGTAGAATTCCCTGAACTTTGCTCATTAAATCTGTTTGTAAACACTGGATTAGTTTCCTACAGCTGCCTTAACAAAGTAGTACAAAGTGAGTGGCTTAAAACAGTAGGCATTTAGTATCTCACATTTCGGGACCTCCATTTGCTTATGTGGCACAACTCAAAATGGGAAAAAAACAGCTGCAAACATCCATTAATAATAAGAACATGGAATGTAGGAAGTATGAATCTAGGAAAATTGGAAGTTGTCAAACGTGAAATGGAACGCATAAAGATCAAAATCCTAGGCATTAGTGAGCTGAAATGGAGGGGCTTTGATCATTTTGAATCCGACAACTATATGATCTACTGTGCCAGAAATGACCAATTGAAGAGGAATGGTGTGGCCTTCTCGTCACAAAGAATGTTTCAAGATCTATCCTGAAGTACAATGCTGTCAGTGACAGAATAATATCCGTACACCTACAAGGAAGACCAGTTAGTACCACTATTACTGAAATTTATGCTCTAACCGCCAAAGCCAAAGATGAGGAAATTGAAGATTTTTACCAACTTCTGCAGTCTGAAATTGACTGGACGTGCAATCAAGGTGTGTTGATTATCACTGGTGATTGGAATGCAAAAGTTGGAAACAAAGACAAGTCACCAGTAGTTGGAAAATAAGGCTTTGGTGATAGAAATGACTCTGGAGATCACGTGATAGAATTTTGTAAGACCAACGACTTACTCATTGCAAGTACCTTTTTTCAGCATAAACTGTGGCTATACATGTGGACTTAGCCAGATGAAATACACAGGAATCAAATTGACTACATCTGTGGCAAGGGGCAATGGAGAAGCTCAATATCTTCAGCCAACTTAAAGAGGAGTAATTTAGTTTATGATTAAAAGGATGTTTTTCTATAATGGGTTGTCACTAATATCCATTTCTTATATGAAAGACATTTGTTATTCCTGCATTGCTTAATCCAGTGGACATTTCTCAATCCTTATCTTACTTGATCTCTCAGCAGCATTTGATGTAGCTGTTCATTCTCACCACTTTCAAGCATCAGGCCACCACACTCTGGGTTTTCCTCTGACTTAGCTGTTTACTCCCTTTCAGTCTCCCTTGCCTGTTCTTCATTTAAGGCTTCTTCTCTTTCCTCATGTCCTGGGTAATTTCATCCAGTTTCATGGCTTTAAATATGTGCTTGACAACTCCTTTTTCTCTAGGCTGGAACACTTCCCTGAAGTCTATAATTATACATAAAATTACCTACGAATTTCCATTTGGACTTTTCATGGGGTATCAAACTTATTAACAGATTTTGTTCTCTGCCAAGACCCTCTGAAACTGCTCTCCAGCAGGCTTTCCCGTCTCAGATGGCACCACTTTTGACCTGTGGCTCAGATCATAAATCTTGACACTATTTTTATTTATTTCTGTCACATCCTAAATTGAATCTTTCGGAAGATCTTGTTGGCTGTATTTTAGACTCTAATCCAAGATATAATTGCTTCTTACTGGTTACTACTTGCTGTTACTTACACTGCAACACTTTGATTCAAGTGTATTCTTTCCCACCTAGATTATTGTAGAATCTTTCTAAATGAGCTCTCTGCTTCTGTCCTTGTCTCCTCTCTCAATTATTTTATTTTTAATCATTTTTTAAAATTGCATAATGTAATACAGTTTAAGGAAGTATATATGTATGGTTTAGCGTGAAATTTAATGTAATTAACACCTAGGTCAAGAAATAGCCTCCAGGTGCCCTGCCCCCATGGTTTACTAATGGGTATTGCCTAGAATTAATTATCATCCCAACTTTTATGGTAATTTTTAAATTTACTTTGCTTTAGAGTTTTAAATCTTATGTATGCCTCACTGAATAGTATGGATTATTGTTGCCTGTTTTGACCTGTAAGTAAAAGGAAATTATATAATATGCATTCTTTTGTGTGGTTTCTGGTTCATTATGTTTTCAAGATAATGTCCTTTGTACATGTAGTTCATTCCTTTTAATAACTGTATAGTAAATATACTTCTGGTTCATTATGTTTTCAAGATAATGTCCTTTATACACATAGTTCATTCCTTTTAATAACTGTATAGTAAATATACTTTAATGTATTATTTCATTCTACCCTTTTGAGTTCCTTCAAGATTTTTAATATTGCAAACAATGCTGTTCCTTATTCGTACTCTTGGTGCACAGTTTCTAAAGAGTGGGGAAGTCTTATATGATAGGATATGCATGCCTTAAGCTTTTCTAGGTAATGGCCGACTGTTTGTTAAAGTTGTTGTTGTTAAGTGCCGTTGAGTCGTTTCCGACTCCTAGCGACCCCATGCACAGCAGAACGAAACACTGCCCGATCCCACACCAGCCCCACAATCCCTGCTATACTTGAGCCCATCATC